CGTGGCGATTTTTTAGTCCAGAAATGGATTTTTTGAGTGAGTTGTTTAAGCTATCCTAAAATGGACTTTGTTGAATTAACCTGTGTTTGTAAACTTCTAATTAGAAAAAAAGACAACTTAAATATTGGGTTCATCCAATAGTAAGTCAGAGACTTTAAATCGACAGTTATATACTATACACTTCACGTGATGACAGTAAAAACTTCTTTACTATAAAATGTCTATTTAATGTTTCAGTTTGTATTATAACAGCTGTGGCTTTTTTAGCAAAGAAAACAACACAACTCACACTGAAGTTCACTGACTCCTGTGGAGAACAACAAGCGACTGGCCGATTTTTTAGTCGACCGTGAGCGCGGACTGATAACAAGAACCTGTACGTTACAGATTTTCGGGGACAATCGCCTTGCCTACGAATCTGAGGCAAAACCCAGATTTTAAAATCGGCGTAATTCTCGATCGCCTGTGTGCGCGCTTCCATTCAAATACGAGTACATGATGCACAGATCGGCCGATGAAATAGTCGCCTCAAAATAATCGCTCGTGTGCGCCTAGCCTTATGCAAACAAACTCCTGTTCTGAATATAAGAAGGTTCAAACCTACTACAAGATTCCCGTACGTAGGACGGGCACACAGCTAGTTGAAAATAATATCAACAAAAGCAAACAAAGACGAACAACAAACTGTTTTTTTTTTTACACAAAAGATATGTTCTACTGTACTGAGATATCTACCCTGACACATAGATAATTTCAATTTGATTCCGAGTTTGTTTAAATATTACAATTATTTGTTTTACTTTTGAGCGTTTTAGGGGCTTATGTCAAAGCCATATGTCATTTCATATTCGTTCCACTACATTACGTCATAATTTACGACCTGCTTATGAAGTACACACATCCTTTAATTTTATGAGAATGTTGTATTGAGGCTTTTGACAAGGTAAAAGGCCCTGAACACTCCTACTTAGGCTCTTTAAGACAACAGTTTACCTTTCAAAATTGTCCGTAGACGCTAGCTCAGTAGGCCTGGGACCCGTGTTGTCTTACCAGATGGTGTAGAGAACCTGATAGCGTATCAGTCACGCACATTCTCAACAGCTGAGCGAAGCTATTTACAAATTATAGAAAAGGAAGCTTACTCATTGTTGTGGCTTGCCCTGAACTGGTAAGACAAATATAAGTACGAAAGTAAAGGTAACTAAACCACTATTATTTTATAAAAGGAAGCTCTTGCTTTAGCATTTGCAGTTTAAAAAATTCAATAACGTTTTTGTAGGGGAAAGCTAATTTTGGCTCTGATTGCAAACTACTTCGTAGTATCTTTGACTAAAAAGGCAATACCTATTTTTGATAGGGCTCGAGTGCAAAGATATGCGTTGTTCTTATAAGGTTATGAATTTAAAATCTATGCTTTTGCCCCTGAGCTGTGATGACAATTAAAAATAAATATTTACTTTTGTCTACAGCTCAAACTGTTGTAACTTGGGTTACGGCCGTTTCGGCATTATAACTCGGATTGAAAACGACGTAAATTCAAATTATGGCCGTAACTCAAGTTACAACAGTTTGAGTTGTAGACAAAGGTAAATACCTATTTTTTATTAAGAATTTAACATTGAAATAATTTCTTGTACCTTATTGAACATAACAGACCAGGCCGTATCAAATATAAGGCGGGTTCCATCAGAAAAATCTAAAAAAGTTTTCTCTATTTTGGCTTGTAAATCTGAAGTAGCTTTTGAGAAAGCTTTCGGACCTTGTATTTGTGCAACCATGAAAAAATGATCTGTTAGAGCACGTTTTATAATAGCAGATTTAATGAAGTTATTATTTTTACAGTCGGTGAAAAAATGATCCAGATAGCCTTCTGTATCTTCTGTAACTCTGGTTGTCACATCGATACAACTAATAAAACCTGAACCATATAAAACATTCACGTAGTGGTGTGAGATATTGTTAGCTTTTTTTGGCAAAATTCAGGAATTAATGTCGCCGACCAGACGTTCGACCAGCCAGTGTTTCCCATGGTGGAAGTAAATATTTATATATATTTTATTTATATATATTTACTTCCACCATGAGTGTTTCCTATACCCTATTAACCTAAGTAGGCTTCAAGGTCGTCGATAAATTGAAATACTGTAGATCACTAGACGGACTCCTGTACACTGATAACAGGGAAAGCCGCGCACCGCCAAATGTTACCTCTACTTTAACCATATACAAAAATAATTAAATATAGACTGTAAACCTTGCTGTAATTACTATGGTTACCATAGGTTCTGGCGCACACCGCTTGGAGCGCCGCGTAGTTACGTAGCGCGTACATACATGGTGCTCCCAGTGTTGTGTCTATGGTAACCGCAGCACAGCTGACGGTCTTTATTTAGTCCTTTTTGTCTATACTTTAACACATGTTGCTCAAAACACTTACCAACCTTAATACCAAACAAAACATAATACCAACCTCCTCCATGCACGCAGAAAAATACTTTTTCACAAACAATCACACCATCATTACGATTTCTACTTTCTTTGTTCATAAACACGTTATAACCATCCATACTCACATTCCCACTTGATTCATCCACCCAAGACTCAGTTAAAGCAATTATATCAAATTGATATACATAACTATCTAAAATAATAATCAGCTCGTCTATATTTTTAGTATAACTTCAAATAATTAGACTAAGAACCGTTTAACTATTTTTAAAATCTTCATTAAACTCGACTGAAAAAATTAAATGTTTATATGTCTTCAAATTATTTGTAAATAGCCTGGCAAATAGTCGAAAAAATAATAAAAACTGTGGGTAACAAAAGGTCATATATTAAATGGACATAATTCAAATTATTGATTGATTAATTCAAAATATGTTACGTTGACCATATAATACTTAGGCGAAAGACGCGCCGACCTTATGTCACACAAGTTTTGTCGTACCTGTCACGTAATACACCGATTTCTATATAACTAATAATAATAAAGACATACAATAATAACTATATAACTAATAATAATAAAGACATACAATAATAACAATATAGATGTATAACCTTTACTCGTGTATTCAGAATGGTATATGGCTACGGAAAAAGAGCCGTTACCGTTCACAATTTTAACTTTTGCTAAGATTTTCTAGTTTTATAAATTTACAGTTTATTTCAATGTTTTTTTTTTAAATTAAAAGTACTAGGGGAGACCCGTCAAAATTGACGTTAATGTTTCAATTAAAATAGTTTAACTATCAATCAATGATAAATAGTTTTGTTTTGTTGGCCAAGCTTCTGCAGCGTGCTTTAGATACATTCGATCATAATAGTCAACCACTAAAATGAAAGCTGGTATTTAACTAAACGTTTTTGATAAAAAAAATATAGTATAACGTGATTAGAATTGAGCAAATATGTCTAAAATTAAACTCCATATTCGAGAACTAAATAATTTTATGTTTTGTGATTCAGTACCGGTAATTCAACATCTTAAACTGTTTAGGATAAATTTGTCACTTAAAAATTGCCGTTTTATCATAATTAATAAGTTAGACAAAACAAACAAAGCATATTAGCGTCTAAAAGATTTTAGGAGTTGGTATCACTGGGTAGTGTTAAGCCTGCAAGTAGTGATATGGTGAAAAACAATAAAATTGGAGTGAGGTAGTGATATACTGCAATCTGAGTGCTAGGTAGTGTTATCCCGGCTTCCAAGTGTTTGAAATGCAGGCATAACGCTACCAAACTTTGCTACCTCGCGGGGAGTAATATCCTGCAATCCAATGCGGTAGGTAGTGTTATCCTGCAGTCTATAAAGATATATATATATATATATATATATATATATATGAATGAATGAAATAATATTTTATTTCCCAACTGCATAATACAATTCGTGGTATTTACATAATATACAATCCTTTAGTTAGTTAAGTTTAGTTTTTTTTTTAGTTTTTTCAATTTAGTTCTTTTTTTAGTAACTATATGGAAACTAAAATGTGCATACAAATATGCCCACTTGTCGTTTTAATAAAGTCTATTCTTGTATTTATTTGATATTCCAACATCCAATCTGATTTAATTTATGTATATGTGCTTTCCGTTATCCCATAGGTACCGCCAAAAGTCTTAAAACAAATATCACCAAAATTTGAAATTTTGCCGTTATTTTGAAATTGATTTTTTAGTAATTTTCCATGGTCGGATTTTGGATATGTTATAAAGCATAATTTTCTGTGTTGAATACCACTTCAATCGCTTGTGAAGCAATTTTTCCCAGGTTAAAGGGTGATTTTTTTTATTTTGCCTTGACTATTTATTTGAACGAGTTTGCGAATCAGCATGATTGGACCATGTGGAATGTGGTGGGGGATGGTTTATTGCAGTAACTTTTTTTGCTATTTCTTAACCTGAAAAAAATTTTTAAATTTCAAAACAATTTTGTAGAGCTTAAAAAAAAACAAATAGTATATACAGTAACCTTTTCATTTTTTCTCCGTAAAAAATTGAATTTAAAATTCCCATGTTAATATTTATGGAGAATACATAAACTGTTGTATTTTTCTTGTTTATGGATAATATATTTTTATCAAATTTGGCTAACTTGTTTAATACAAGCTAAGTTAAGTAAGCTAACATACTAACATGTATGTAACATGTATGTATTAACACACTACTAAAATCCAACATTAAACATTAAAGACATAATGTTTTTGTAAATTTTGTTTATTTTAATTATGCATAAACACACCTTTTACCTTCCCTGTAGCAGCAAACCTAAGCACTAATTAAAATTAATGTTATATAAGTAGAAAATAAATCTGACAATTTTAAGGGAATATTTTTGTTGAAATCCAGACAGTTAAATAGAAATTCGCTCAGTCTGCAGGTTCACTGCAGCTGCGGTATGTATATTTACTGTATTATTAGTCCTTGTCCTTATTATTTTGGTTTAGTATTAGCAATTAAGGAAATGTTGGATCAGGATTTGTGTGTTTCAGCATAAACTCCCTAAACAACCTCTTCGTGATAGAATGGGATCAGACAAGGATGTTGAAAATCTCAGTAAAACATTTAAAAGCCTCAACTACAATGTGGTTGTCATAAATGACGTTAATCATGACAAAATGGTGGAAGATATCCGTGACACGGTTAGAAATGAGTTTAATGAGGTTCACCATTCGGTGCTGGTTTTGTGTGTTCTCTCTCACGGGGATAAAGGTAACTTTTGGTAGTAAATACTGACATAAGCTAAACATAGTGTTGACTAATGTAGAAGTTTTTGCTTACAGTTTTATCTTGAGTCGGGACAAAATCATGAAGTTACAAGGTGAGGGTTAAAACCCCTCTTTTGGTTTGTGATAAAAGTTTTTAATCATACTTCTTGAAATATTATGCTAACTAAATTTAGGTTTCTTGTTTGCATAGCAAGCCATGGTGGTGATTAATGCTTAACAAGAATCTAAACAGGACAATATATGCATAAATGAAACAATCCTACCCTAACATGAAAAAGCCATGATAGTTAAAAGGCATTGAAACCAATAACAATTATTGTCTTAGGTTTAGTCGTATTATGTTAGGTTAAATGCAGATTGTTGAGCACAAACCTGTTTACAACATTATCAGATGTAGTTTTGTTTAAAAGAGTAATTAAGGAAATCTAAGAAAAGACAATCAACAAAAATCTGATATGGCTACTCTGTGCATGATAACCTAGATTATTTTGTAAATTGTACACCCTATATGTCTTAAGGACAGTGATGGAATCTTAGAGTTCAAATCTTGAAAATGTATATACAATCTTCCAGCTAGCCAGAAGACACATAAGGGTGTGATAAAATGTAGCTGTGAAACAAATTAAGTTCTGTCACATTACTTGCAGGTCAATCGTTACTCTATTAGGAGCTTAGACTAGTTAAAATTATCAATTACTATTTGTACATATATTTTCATAGTTCAATTCATCCACAGATGCTGATGTATGTTATTGTTTATCTGTTGAATGTACAAAATTTTAACTAAGTCAAACTGATCAACTTTTAAAACATATCTTTCATGTCATAAAAAAAGTTGAATTGAATACAACACTGAGCGTTGGTCATGTAATGAATAAAATATAGTCTACAGCTAGTCTATATGGATTCTCTGTCTACTGTACCATCCAAAAGCCAATACTAGAGTATATAAATAAATAAATAAATATATATTAATAAAATTACCTACTTTTAGGTATGGTATATGGTGCAAACAGTGTACCAGTAAAAAATGAAGACATCATCAATAGCATTTCTGGATCATCACCACTCATCCATTTACTATCTGGTATTCCCAAAGTGATAATCATTCAGGCATGTCAAGGCCCAGGAGTACTATATGGTGAGTGAATTACTTCAGATAGTTTACATCATAAGCCATGCCTTTACATGGCCTTAAACCAAATATCCAGAGATACTTGTTTGACCTTTATTTAAAATCGTGGTCTTCTGGTGACTAAGAAATCTTCAGAAACAACAAATCACTATTACTCACCGCCGACATTTTAGTTAGTCAAGTCGCCCTGAGGATGGCACACTACATGAAGGCTGAAACTAGGGGTCTCAATCCCAGGCCTTCAATCCAATCCCGGGATTTTGGGATTCGTCTCAGCCGATCCCGGGATTATATAATATTATGATTTTTTAACTTTTTAGCCATTTTAAATGAGCGAGAAGTCTCCTCGTTGAGTACTTTAATGTTTTAATCTGGCCTTACCTGTGTTACACTGCGCAATGTTTCCGTTTTCTAAGTAAATAAATATTACCACGCCGAACTTTCATCGCCCGTATTTCTTATTTACAGTGTATAAATGTTGATATGTCACTCTAGAATATAAAATAAATACATTTTAAAAAATCACGAGCAACCGCACTCGCACGTAGCCTATACGTCACGCTAATAGATGGATTAAAGATAGCTAAGAGAAAAAGATAAAATGGGAAGAATCACGAGTAGCAGCGTTAAAATGTAATTTGACTGACAGCAATAAAACAATAAAAGATACTGTAAAACAATAAACCCTCTTCAAGAAGAACTGTTTATATTGGAATTAATACTAATTTGAAATAATAACTTCGCCAATATATCTGAATTTTTAATTTTTATGAGGCCTTTCGCCGCTATGCTGGCATCATCAGACACATCACAAAACTGTGTCTGATGATGCCAGCATAGCTGGCGAAAGGCCTCATAAAAATTAAAAATTCAGATATATTGGCGAAGTTATTATTTCAAATTAGTAATAAACCCTCTGCTTATGTAGTAGCGTGTGTATGAAAAAAGTAATTTTAGATTGTAAGAAATTAAATCACCACACTAATAACCAAATACGAAGATAAAGCTATAGACCCTAAATATAAGCAATCTTAATACTGTAATGAGATTATAATCGTGTGTTAATAGTTATATTTTATGGCATCAATGAAAATAATACTTAAATTTCCGATTGCAATGCTATGTTTGCTACACAAATTGCATTGTTTACATTTAATGTCAACAGTAAAACTCAAAATAACTTGTAGGCTGTAATTAAGTGTGTATTAAGTAAGTGTAATTGTACTGTAATTAAGTTCTAACCAATGTAATAACATTTACAGAAAGTAAATCCAAATCGTCTGAAAACTGAAACATATATTTAGGCTTAAATTTTCCAATCAAAAAGATCATTAGGCCTACTTATACTATTTTGTATAATCGTCCTAAAAATAAAGAGTATATGTGTTTCAAGTGTTATTGGACTATTTTTATTAGTTTTCCACAAGTAAAAAGTCCTCAAATTCACAAAAAATCAATATAAACATAGGCTTTGCAATTCCGTTAATCCCGGGATTAAAAGTCACCAATCCCGGGATTTCTAGGTATCAAAAGTCGGCCGGGATCCCGGGATTGAGACCCCTAGCTGAAACGTCTGTGAGTGATCAAATCAATTGATTCGTCGTTTTTGACACGGTCGTCACCAGAAGACCGCAATCGACATCAGTGACCGCGAGCCTATCCTGCAAGATTTTACTGCTTTCATTGGTTGTTGCACCATGTTCCTTATGTATTCAATTTTAAAGTGTTTTAAATAGTCTATAATGTCTTTTTAAATAAGTTCGTAAGAAACTGACGAATACAACTTTAATAGTTGCTGCTGATTTCAATGTAGATTCGAGAAACTTGTAAATGTCAGTTACTAATGCACTGTTTATTAATCTTTGAATAGGTACCCTGTTCTCATATACTTTAGCATAAGAAAAATTATCAAAAAAAACCATGCATCTCATAAATTGGTATCTGATAGTGATAACAAAAAATAAAATTAATTGACTTGTACAAATTGTCTGCTGGGTTAATCATACAGGTTTTCTGCAACACGTTTCAGTCAATCCCGAGAATGAACTGTTAGAGCCTGACACTACTGAAACTGATGGTCCATCAGTGATGACAACTGATGACAATCTAACCACTGACGGACCCAATAGTTTTGATCCAAAAGACAGATTGGTGTGTATGGCAACTATCGATGGGTTTGTTTCAATCCGCAGCAAGATAAATGGTAACTTGATGTAAATTTGTATCTATATTAACTTACTTATATACAGTAGGCTCCCTCTTATCCGGACACCTTTTAACCGGACATCGGTTTAACCGGACTACACTCGGCGGAAATGATATCTCTAACCTGACAATTTTTATCAGCACATCGGCTTAACCGGACTAAATCGGCAGGAGGTGGGCGGTACTGAAACGACTGTTCTTGTGGGAAAGATTTGAGAGACCCGTGATCACGTGTCTAAATACAGTGCTCTCCTAAATTTAAGTCGAATATCACAGTAAATGGTCTGTTTAACGAGTTTTCGTGGACGTCGGTTTAACCGGAAAACCCATTATCCGGACTGGTCTCGGTCCCGAGGAGTAGGGATGAGAGGGAGTCTAATGTACTCCATTTTTTTATAAACACCACCTTATTTAGTAATGGAGGTAGCGGTACCTACTCCAAAAGTTACCCTGCCTTACATGAAGGACTCAAATCCAGATTTATGTTTCTCACTATTTAGTAAACCTTCATTAATGACTAATTGGGACTCTGTCTAATAAAATACTGGATTATTACTGTGATTAAAGGCAGTGCTGTTATGGAACCCTTCCGACGTCGTCTGAAGACAATCAGTAAATTTGAATCCCTCAAACTTTCCATATTGTTACAATCACATATACAGTGACAATCAAAGTGAAGTTCCTTTTCTTGCAGTCCCTACTAACGAGTGCTACTGTATGTTTGAGTTCTGTTAAATTAAAACATATTAATTCTTCAATGTTATTTTCAGGTACAAAATACATTCAGGAGCTGTGTCGATGTATTGATAAGTACCACAGAAAAAAACACTTCTTAGACATTATTACTAAAGTTCATAAACATCTTAGTAGTGAGAAATGCATTGTTAAAGATGTGCATGAGACGCAACCAATCTGTATGGTTCCTGTTATGATTTCAAATCTTTGTAAATCGTTGTACTTAACTCCAAAGCATGTTCTCGGTTAGGAATTGAAGTGCTAACAGCTTGATGTGAACATTATGTAAAATACTGAAGGTTTACACAGAACTAGACAGACAATAGGCGAACGCTTTAATGGTAAATTCTTAAAGAAATACATTAGCGTTAAATTACACTACATATTATAGAAAGTTGTTTAGCTGGCTTGTGTACATTGCTAGCTCATGAAGTAGTGTGCTAATTTTGAGGAATTTGAAAGCTTCTCTAAAACTTTCTGTGGGACCAAGGACAAATAGTACCCTGACAGCCTTCTTCTGAGCCACCAGGATTGTATTTAGGTTGATGTCAGAGGTGCCACCCCAACAAATCAGCACCTTTTGAGAGATTCCTCCCATCTACATCATCCTTCTTATACTGTGTGTCTTCCAAATGAAAACTTTCTGGTTGGTTAATTGATGATGATAGGTAGCAGTTTTGTATTTGTAAATGGTTTAAGTATTTTAAATAAGGCTTGAGTATACAGCTCAACGTTTTATTACATTCAAATTAGATTGATGTAACATCAAAGGTCTGAAATAAGTCTCAATCTATGGGAAGAGGAGCACAGGGGTGTCATCGCTTTCCTGATGAAAACTAAATTTAAAAATTACCGTAACACACCTTTGCGACATTAGAGAAAACTCAAATCTTACCAAAATTGATCTGCATGGTTAATGTACTAGCTAAATCCTTACACTAGTAATACACGAAGAAAAAATTGTTCAAATGTTGATAATTAATTAAGAACCGAAATATATAATAAAATGATCACTACTAGAAAAGTGTCAAACAACCACCAGCTCCAGGATTGCTTTTATATGACATAGATACCTCGTCAGACAATCCTTGACATGTAATATCGAATGTACAATAATGTAATATCGGTATCGAATGTGCTAAATATGTTTTGGTGGTTATTTCAATAACTCCGCCATTACAATAAATATTAATGTAGCACATTCGATGCCTACTACATGTCATGGCTTGTCTGACAAGGTATGTTAAGCCATTATTTGTAGTCTACAAAACACTGTAAAAAAGAAGTTTAAGAAAAAAATGAACATATTTTTGTACTCATTTGTTTGTTAAAATGTCTATTATGTTAATAGTTCATTATAATTTATATTGTTAATAAAGTTTTTAAAAAACAATTTTATTTATTATATATATATATATATATGAGAGTTTTTTTGTAATCCTAAGAAAATCTAGTTTTGTTCTATCCTTTTTTGACATTTTAATTGAGTAGTCTATGTAAACAATAATTGTTGTGACTTTCCTATGAAATAAAAATAATAGGTTGGCTTTAAAATGTAATAGTCAAATGTAAGAGTCGGCAGGAACGCTGGCCATCTTGGATTTTTTACCCATAATGCTAATGTTTAATGGCTGAAGCATTACTGCATTGTTTATTAGGATAACAAGTTGAAAAATATCTCATTTTAAAGCTACCGTAGATTGGGGTTACTTTGTGACAGTTTTAAGACATTTTGTCATTTTACTGCCAATGTATTGAACCAGATTAACTTCAAACTACCTCAAACTGTTCCTACACTCTCAATTAACACACTGCTGCAGTTAACATAATTTTATCTATTTGTATAAAATAAATATAAAATATATAAAATGTCACAAATTAACCCCAGGGCCTGGGGTTACTTTGTGACACAATTATTTTTCATATAAAACAACAGGAAAATGAACAATTTCACAATGTTACCCCAATTACTTTATTATTACAATCAATTAGGTAACAGATTATTACAACTTTAAAAACTTTAAAACAAGAGTTCAGCGAAAGAGTGTTGGAACGGAGAACACGCCCCTTTTACCAACTGGCTTGGGCGGATTTATACCGTAGAGAACCTCATCTTTTTGATACAATATTTCATCTGGTCTGCTAGGCCATTTCCAATTCTTTTTGGTCTCTTCCATGACTGAAACCTTATATCCATTCTCGTACACTTCTGTTACAACACCTGGATACAGTTTACCTTCAAAGTTAACAACAACAAAGTTGTCAACTGAAAATGTTGCAGGCTCTTCATGAGTGCTTGTTCCAGGGGTTTGGGAAGAGTTTTCAGCACTAACTGGGTTCTCAGCAGGTGCTGCAGGGTCGTCCTCATTTTCTGAGCTTAGCCTCTCATCCCAAATTAGGCTTTGGTCAGAATCTTGGAGAGAGAAGTTTTCATCTGTGTCGGTTTCTTCCTCGCTGGTAATGCCTAAATCTGAAGTCCTTTTCCTTTTTTTATGAGTTTTTGGTGTTTTTGGTGTTTTTGTTTTATTGTTTCCTCTTTGTTTCCGAGTACCACTATGCGTTTCATTAGAATTTTCGTGTCGTGCTAGAATGTCTGCAGATGAAATGCTTTTTCCTGCTGGCACATTTAGCTTCTTACGCCTTTTTTTCTCACTTGGTTTGGTCACTTCTTCTCTTCGTTTCTTTAGCTCGTCCAAAAACACATTACTGATACAGTCTGTCAACGATGTCAAATGATTCTCTGCTGTGGACGTTGGAAGTCTTGCTGTTACTTCTTCCTTATTCAAAGGTACGATTCCAGTCTTACGAAACCCTGACAACATGTTATTCTTCATGTTGGGTTCCATGGCATTCATCAGATGTTTTAGGAGACCTGGAAATTCATCCTTAGGTATATTGGTACACTTGCTACCAGAAGGACTCATCTTCCAATCTCCCAAAATCTTTCTCCAGTTGACTTTCAATGGTCGGAAGAAAGCAACGTCGAGAGGTTGCAGAAGGTGAGTGGAATTCGGCGGAAGAGCAATAAACTTTATGTCATTTTCTTCGCATAAGCGCAACACCTCTAAATTTATGTGTGAGCTCAAATTATCTCCAATGATAACTTTTTTGCCTTGCTGTTTCTTTAGAATGGGAAGCATTAGGGATATAAACCAATCCTCGAACACTTGGTGGTCAAACCATCCGGACTTAGTCCGGTTGTATCTTGCCCCATCTGGCCCATTCTCGGTCCACGTAGTCCACAGCTTTTCTGATTTGTAGTTAACATATAAAGGTGCTAGCTCCCCAGCACCATTGCCACAAAACATCAAAGATGTACAGGCCTTTGAAGAATTGCGAATTTGTTCAGGGTACTTTGCTCCTCGCTTGGTTATCACCTTTTTGTTGCCGGGATCATCTACAAGATTGGTCTCGTCATAGTTCCAGATGTTTTTTGGATCCACGCCGCTTATTTCTTTTTCTAGGTGACTAAAATAATCGTCAATTATCTTCTCATCTGTTGAGGCCCTGGAGTAAGTTATATTCTTAGCAGTACGCTGGGAAATGATTGCAGAGTGCCGCTTCATAAAAGCATAGGCCCATTCTAGTCCAGGAAAGTTATTTTTGAATCTAGATACCTTTCTCCCACATCGATCGAGATAAGCCTTCACTGTACTTCGTAAATCAAACGAGGTGATTGGAAATCCGTATGTAGACATTGCAATAGCGTGGGCGACAAATCTCTTTTCTTCGTCAACTGTGAAGACAGGCTGCGAACCTGGGCTCTTGAAATATTTTAATCCATTTGGATTATTCACTTCATTTTTTTCAGCTTTTATTTTCAACCAAATTGTGTTTCTATGGATATTGAATCTAAAACAAAACCATATTGTTAGGTACAGGCTACATTACTGTAATTTCAGTATACACTAGTAGCTGTTATATGCTATAGATCTAATTAGGTAATACACAAATACAGTACTGGGTTTAATACCTCTGTGATGCTTGTCTGAGAGACAGTTGTTTTCCTTTCACTAATTCGATAGCTTCATTTAGTTGGGCTTCAGTGTAGTTTTTGTAGGGTCTAGACCCAATTTTCCTCACATATTTACGTGGCATTCTGGATAACAACCTAAAATCCAACCAAAAAGTATTAAAAACGGAAAAAAAACACCCTGGGGTTACTTTGTGACAACAACAAGCTGTCACAAAGTAACCCCAGTGAGTAGCAATTTTTAGGTTGAGTTTAGATAAAATAAAAAATAATAATTCAAACTAAAATCTAATTGCATGGTTTCTTAACTATATTATGTAGTTTCATAAATAAATACCTGATTTGGTCAGAAGGATGAAACGGGTCACTGCAGGATACAAAGTTTGAGCAACTTCTAAGAATGCTGTTTTTGTTTACTATTTTTCAGCGCCTTTAAAGGAAAGAAGAACATGAAGAAAACAACAATGTTTGTAGTCTACAGATGTAACTTTTCATGGAGTAAGAAATAGTAGCAATCCTATACCATAGTTCAAAACCGTTTTGGTACTATATGAAAAATAGTAAAAAAGGGCATGGTGTCACAAAATAACCCCTGCAGGCACAAAGTAACCCCAGTCTACGGTATTGAAACCGTGGAGGTGATTTTTTCTCTACTTTTTCATTTTAATTGTTATTATTTTGTCAAAATACAAAAATATATTGACTTAAACTGTGATTTGTTCAGCCTCTAAAAGTTTTAAAAATCTGAAAAGGAATTCATGGAAAATATATTCTGTCCTATACATAAACTCCCTGGAAAATTTAATAGCTGTTAATATTTTAGTTGCAATGCTACAAACAAACATTTACTGACTTAGTTGAACTATTTAAATTTGGGTTGGCGTAAATATTACAATGGAAAAAAGCGATGGACAATTTGATATAGTAAAAAGAAAGCGGAATTAAAACTGTGCTGCATTTCAATGAGGAATCATTGAAAGAGCCGATTTGCAAACTATGGAAACATATAAAAGAATTAGAACCCCTACAATTAGAAGAAATAGAAATAGTGTTTTTTTTTTATATTTATAATCATTATGGACAACTTAAGGCGGCTATGAGTGGGAAACATTTGTAGAAAACAATAAATACCCCCGCCGCAGCAAACCTGCAGACTAAGCAAATTTTGATTTACCTGATTGGATTTACACTAAATGTCTCCTTAAAAATGTCACATTTATTCCCTATTTAAATAACATTAGTTTAAAGAGTACTTAGGTTTGCTGCAACAGGGAGGATAAAAAGGTGTTTTTTTGTAAAATGTAATAGTTTAGTATGAAATTAATGCATTTTCCAAATTTGATCAAAATATGTTCATAAACAAGCAAACTACAACTGTTTACTTATTCTCCATAAGAATAACATGGGAATTTTAAATTTACAGATTTTTGGAATTTTCTCCGTAACCATTAGGCGCATATTAACGCTTCAATATACTAAATTATTTGTATTTTTAAGCTCTACAAAATGGTTTGGAAAGAAAATGCAAAATTTAAGTTTTAAGGGTCAAAAATGGGAAAAATTAATTTTTGCCCCATAAGACTCCCCATAAACCCCTGTTCCCATAGTCCGATCATGCTGGTTCCCGAACTCGTTCGAATAAACGTAGGTTTACACGTTTGTACAAAATTTCATCAAAATCGGGTGTTTTTTACTTGAGTTATCGCGCTAACGGACACATATACAAAAAAATATATATATATATATATGAATTTGAACGGATGGTGTTTTTGGTCTCAAGGGACCTCAAAACGAAAAAGTAAATCGGTCCCGGGTCCAGGTCTTACCATGAGTACTACGGTAATAGCTAATTCCCTATAGTGGAAATTAGCTAAAAGCATAAAAAATAATATATTTAGTCAAATTTGCTAAGCGTACTGCAAGTAGGGAGCAGAAACTTGAAGATAAGACTTGTAACTAGAGACTAGGGCATATTGAGAGTCAACTGTAAAAGATTTTCAAAGGTTTTCACCCTACATAAGATGAGTCCTGAACAGTTGATGTTTATTCGAAAAGCTCAGAGTACTTGGTAAATCAAATACTTTTTTTTGTCCTTGGACGCTAGGCACGAGCCTGGGATTGTTTTAGTGAATTTCCCATATCGGGATTAAGCTATTACCGTAGTACTCATGGTAAGACCTGGACCCGGGACTGATTTTTTTTTTCTGTTTTGAGGTCCCTAGAGGCCAAAAACACCATCCGTTAAAATTCATATATATAAATATATATATATATATATATATATATGTCCGTTAGCACGATAACTCGCAAAAATGGAAAAAGTAACGTGTAAACCTACATTTATTCGAACGAATTTGCAAACCAACTCACACAAACAAAATGGGAAATTGGGTTTTCCCATTTTTCATCCTGAAAAAATTGTACAATTTCTTTCCAAACCTTTTTGTATAGCTAAAAAAAAAACAAATAATATAGTTTATTGAAGCATTGTTGTATGATCAAACAGTTACGGAAAAATCCCTAAAAAGTGTAAATTTAAAATTACCATGTTATTCTTATGGGGAATAAATAAAAAGCTTGCTGTCTATAGGCATATTTTAATGAAATTTAGTTTGCTTCATACTAAGCTATCAATATTTCAATAAAAACCCCTATTTTCTTCCCTGTAGCAGCAAACCTAAGTACTCATCAAAATTAATGATATTTAAATAGGAAATAAATATGAAAATTTTAAGAGAATAATTTAGTGGAATTTCAGCCAGTCCGATGGAAATTCGCTAAGTCTGCAGGTTTGCTGCGGCGGGGGTATATCTTTGGTCCTTGGACACTAGGCACGAGCCTGGGATTGTTTTTTACATTACTTCAGGCTAGACCTAGGGGTTGCGGCATTTTCAATTAGATCAAATGCATTGGTGATTTGGTGGGATTTTAACTCGAGACCTCTCGGACCAAAGTCCCGCACTCTAACCACTAGACCAGATCGCTCCCCAAGTCAAATACATGGTGAACAAACAATACAACACATTTTGTTTTAATTCTTTATATAGGAAGAACAGATAGGTTTTAATTTAATACCCATCTCAAGATGAACTTGAGCTAACCAAGTATAAGTGAGATATGTCCTAACTGATCAACATTTCCAGCACAAGTATTTAATATTTACTTGTTCAATTAGTTATGTTTCATTGCTCGGAAATACAATCAAATCATTATTCTAGTTTTCAAAACTATACTTCAAACAAGTACACATGGTGATAACAAGTAAATAGTTCATGGGGAATTACTGAAAGTATGGTTTTGTTTTTATAACTTGATACTAGCTTTACCTTATCAATATGCAAGATCTCAGTTCCATTGTAAACGTGCTACGTATTATGTATTAAATCTTGGCACTCGTTTGAGAATAAAATTTGTTTCAATATTTGGCTGTGTATATTTTTAAGTAATTGAAACATTAACTAAGCTTGCAAAGGGGAAAAAATCTGTAATTTTAATTATACACTTGAATTTCTAACAGGATATGCAAAATGTAAAAGGCAATTTTTTTTAATAGTTTAACAGACTTGATAGATTGTGAAAGTTATTCTAAATAAATATTGTTCTTTGTCTTTCTCTGCCATTGAACATACAAATTACAATCATTATTAATTGACCAAGCTATAGAGTGTACACACTACACAGCCCTTCACTAAACCATTCAAACTATAACAACACATTTTTTAAAGCCAATAGTTATTAGTACAGAATAACAATCAGTACCGGTATTAAAATAAACTTAAATTTACACTTAAAGTCGGGACCACGTAAGTTTGCAGTCGAGGGAGGAGCCTATTTACCATATGGTTTTGAATGAACCAATAAGAACCATGCGGTGTTGCCAAATCTAACAATACCAGCTGATTTGAAAATATTGCTTGGTATATTTTAATTAGCGTTGTCAACGGGCGATTTGGCAACGTCGCACTAGCCTTGTCTTGTGATTGGCTGCCACCAACTGCAAACTTATGTGGTCCCGACTATAAATACCATCAATGTATAAAAGAAGCAACCATTGGTTCTTAATTAGTCTGTTGGAACTTAACTTTAAAATATTGTACTGTTTTAGTTCAGTTACAAATTAATACTTAACCAAACAACTGTAAGATACATAATGTATAACATAGTATTTAGTGATGTCAATGTCTTGTAAAATCAAGAAATCAATTTTGTTTTAAATATTAACTACATTTTTAAATGAACTTATATAATAAATATGTACAAAAATTAATTTAACTAAAATGTGTACAGTTTAAAATTAAATGTAAACAATCTATAAAAATATATTCAAATTAAAGCACCACAAATGAAAGCAACACAAAAATAGTATTAAATACATTGAACATAGCTTAATATAATAAATACTTAAAGACAACGTTAATATAAAAACAAACAAAAAAACTACTACATTTGTTACAGTCTATAAATTCAAAAGTACACAAATTATCACACATTTTTGATATTTAAGTAAATCATTGTTTACATATTATAATATTATTAATTTCAACTTGTGTTCACGATTTTAAGCATTTACTGTAAGTCCCTTACCATGAGTACAAAAAGGAAAACAATTTCAGCTCAATCTCAAAATGTGCAAACAAGTTTTTTGTCAGTTTTAATAATATTCTTGATATACAAAATCTTCATTCTTTGTCAATACAACCATTTGGGAAATGTATACAAAGTTTCATCCAATGATTGACTTTGATCCCGACTGTCGACAGTTTCTAAACAGTTTGAGGAATATCTTGGAGACCAGCTAAAAGTATTCCCTGTACCTCTCAAGACAGTGTTTGCTGATAACCTATTAATGAAGCTAAATTACCCAAATTGCAGTACCTTTTAGGTGGATTTCAATCTCGGAGCAAGAAGTATATCATTTTATTGACAACCAGGTAGTTCTAAGATTTGGGAACTGATGACTGTTCGGAAAGAAAATATTAAAAGTTTGGAACAGTGATGAGAATTTAGAAGCTGTAAAAATTGAACTTAAGAGTCGGCAGGACCGCTGGCCATCTTGGATTGTCTGCCCATAACGGCAATGTTAATGGTTGAAGCATATTACGGCATTGTTTATTAACATAATAAGTTGAAAAATATCTCATTTAAAAGCTATTGAAACCGCATATGTGATTTGCTACCCACTTTGGAATTTTAATTGTTATAATTTTGTCAAACTACATAAATATATTGACTTAAACTGGGATTTTCAACCTCTAAAACAAAAGTTTTAAAAATCCAAAAAGCAATTCACACAGAAAATATATTTAAGAATCACATATAATTTTCTGCTTGGTAATCAAGCTTACGGTGCATGATTAATATGCTAACATAATATCTTATTATAATATTAACTGATTGTATTTTGTAAATGGCATTGCCGTGGAAAATAAAATGAAAATGAAAATATGTAAACACATGTTTTTGCTGATCGGTGCTAGGACAACCACTGTTTAGCCTGGCATCTGAAGTTTAACAACAATACAAAATGATTGTCTCCTGCCGACTCTTAAGATTAGTTCTTCAAATTTGTCTCCTAGCTCAGAGCTGCTAAGCACCCTGAAGATTTATTTTCAGAAAGAGATATACCAGTAATTACAAATTGAGCATATGTAATCAAAGGGATACTTAAAAACAAATATGAGACTGACGTTATCTGAGGTACCCGTCCACCCAATTACCTTTGATTACAAGGTTCTACTGTACGCATTAATTAGGTTAGGCAGCATCATTGAAAACCACACAAAGTTGATGTACAGAGGGTTGCAGTGAAGAAAGAACCAGACTGGATCCACCAGAAGTAAAATATCTTCAGTTTAAAAACTGGCCTGAAACAAAATCATCAGTGATTTAAGAGATGCCATTCATTAAAAAAAGGTCAGGATTTTTTTCAAAATGTTAAACCTAATGGAAGAGTATTTAAGAGAGAATACTGAATGTTTTTGGTAAAGTGATCTAAGCCCCTAACATTTTTCTGGATGTGTAAAGGATTGTACCCCTCTCTCCTACATCAAAGGCTAAGACAATAACCGATACACTAGCAAACCACCCACAACTTATAATAAAAACTTCTATATCATATCTTCATATTATATCTTCATACCAGAGGGAGCATGAACACAATTTAAATAAACAAAATACAACATATAAATTGTAGGATTGGTGAAATACCTTCTGTAGTTTTTTTACTAAGTTAGACTACCTGTTTCAAGGACCTTTTTGGTCCAATTCCAATGGCAATAGGCTTCAGTCCAACCACTGAAAATCTTTTCCAAGTACCAAACAGAAAATTTTGTATTAGTAGGTGAGCTTTATACTACTCTGCTAATAATTTAACACTATGTAAATCTACATTTTTTTTTCAAAAATACCATATAAAAACTCTGCCGTTTCAAAGTTGTGAATTTATGCATTTTTTAACTTTAAATGATACCTTCATGAATTTGGTATAGTATTTAAGATATAGTTAAACTAATTAATACAAAAATCCAAAATTTTTCCCAATTTATGGTTATTTAAATGTTTATAACTTTATTACTTCACACTTTTATATATCATTTAAAATCTCCTATCAGACGACATCAAGTTAAGAAATATCAAACCTAATAGCTGAAAAATCTCAATTTTTGGTTATAGGGCTAGGCGTATCCTGATAGCTTGACCATATCCATAAAGTTTTTGTACTGATTTACAGGAACTACAATTATACAAATACAGTCTACAGTAACTAAGCATACCCCACACCCCACCAGAAGCTGTGAAATATTTTAAAATACTGAGGCAGATGATTTGAGTTCCAGAGAGGAATCTATGGGGAAGTTTAGTATCTAGAGCCCCTTATAGTCTCCAATTTTCCCATTCTCATGTAAGCTATCTGAACTCTCCTTTTCTCAAACTTCTACATACAATTTTTGTAATAAATTGTGGTCGATTTAAAACAAAAACAAAAAAAGTACTCATTTACTTGACTCACTTCAGTCTAGGAGTTGCACGTAGTTGGCGGGGAACAGGCCGTAGCTGCCGTCAGGGGCCATACCTTGCCACCAGCCTGCGTCTATCTGGTCTATCCTGGTGATTATATCTCCAGGGTCAAACGAAATCTCCGTCTCATCGGCTGCCAATCAAAATGAAACTTTAAACACTTCAAATTTAAACACTAGTACACAAATAACCAAAGCATATATGTAATTTTTCAATAGTTGGATGACCAAAGTGACTTAACCAAGAAGTACGGTACACTTTGGTTTCCGTCCTATTTCTCGCACCTCATTAAATTGTATTTAATTGTTAACATATAAATACTGAGGAGTTTATTCTTCTAAGACCTTTGGGATCACTGTGAAATCCAGAATATCTTCCTTTAGTCACAGAAACATCATCTTCGTTGTCGAGGCAAAATCCTGAATACTGTATCAACAGAATCGCCATAATCGTCTCTAACGGTCATGGAAAAGTTATCAACAACTCCCACTATTGTGACAAAATCACGAATATTTCCCACGGTGATGTGGAGATTACAAAAACATGATCTTCAAATAGCGCAATCGTGGCGAAATCATGAACATCTCCCGTGGCTGTCTAAACATCATAATTAACTTCCTCGGTCACGAAAACATCATCGTCGTCTTGCATGAATGCAGAAAATTCACTAACATTTCTCAGCCGTGTAGACAATGTCATCGTATTTCGTGATAGTGGCAAAATTCTGTTCATCTCTCACGGCTATATAGACATTACCATCGACTCCCACGGTCATGAAAACATGATCGTCATCTAGCGCGATCGCTGCAAAATCATGAAATTCAGCCGCGGCTGTCTAAACAGCATCATTGTCTCCCACAGCCACAGTCACAAAAACGTGATTGTTGTCTAGTGCAATTGCGGCCATGTATACACCATCATCGCCTCCCACGGTTATGGAAAAGTGATCATCGTCATGCGCGATCGCGACAAAAACATGAATATTTCATTAGATTTTACATGATCCATAAAATTCCTAACTGTGACAACAAAATAAAGACAAATTCCTGACTTTTTAAGACCATTTTGAAATTCAATAACGATTCCCGACTTTCCCATTTTCTCCCGACTACTAGACACCCTGACATCAGTATCCAATAGTCAAAGATTATACTGATTTGATATGTATTTCAATGCAATATGTCTGGCTAAAACAGCTGGACTAGGTATGTCACACCACAATGTTAAGAAGTTAAAAATTCCAGGACATGCTTCAATATTTATTTTTTTAGCACTTGGCTAAGGAATATATTTAGGAAGAAGGAATGGATTCACAACATACTCACTAAAGAAAGTTTCTCCTACTACTATTTTCTCCTGAAGAGCCTTCCTCATAGGACAGAAACATAAAGATTATTTGCTGAATACATATTGTATGCTATCAAGTGCCTAGAACCTTTTTCTTGGGTGAGTTTATATACCAGTTCCTTCATCCTAATAATTAATTTTTTGACCAAGCGCTTATTCTTTCAAAACATATTTAAGTTGGTAATTTACCTGCTTGATAGTCATACAAGGCTTGAGCTCTCAGTCCTTCGTCCTCATAGTCTTCTAAACTTGCTCCATTGTTCAAGTAAGCATCGTCCAAATAAGGTTGGGCTCTTTCCAATGCTGAAAACACATAAGGTTCTTTAGTTGAACAGTTAGTAAAAGGATTTAATACCATTACAGAAATTATATTGAGATGTCAATAAATGTTGGAAAAAAGACTACACGGTTATTTACACACTGCTATCTGCAGTTACGGAAATTTTCATGTTAAAAACAAAACATTTAGTTTAAACTTTTCTGAATGAGAGATTAATTCAAAGCAGATTTACGTTATTAAAATTATCAAAAATAACAAAATTTGATTATTTCCAATCAGCTGTTGATACAGTAAATACTTACAAGTCGGTGCGTTCATGACTTACAGTAATGCTGGATATATGTGCCATTTGAAATTAAAATGTATGGAGTAGAGAGCTGTCTGGCTGTGTCTGATGATGTCATTGCATACCCAACAGCAGCACCACACTATATTTTTTAGGAAAAAAGCAACTGCACATTTTTTTCCAAGAAACCAATGACAGCAAACCGCGTCTTAACAAGTGTTAGGTCCCTGGTAACTTATTGGGTGTGCAACGACGTCAATAAGTTCACCTCGCTCAATCTGCACACCTCCTCTACTACATCAATCTTAATCTAAAATAGCCGTTATTACAAGGATAGCAAGAATACCACTAAAATAAAAAGTCATCAGGGCAACAGATATCAGGCCATTCTCTGTGTTCAACTTTCCTTGATGTTGTATAAGTGTCAACAACAAAACAAAAATACTGGCCTACATGTATTTTTATGAAGTATTAAATTTTGACACAGATTGTGAATACAAAGCGACATTGTTCTGTAGCAATTAAAGATTTAAATTTATTACAGTTCAAATAGGGCTTATCATTCCAGACCACTTACCATCAGCTGTATGAGATGAAAGCACTTCATTACCGTTTAAAGTACCATTGCTGTCTTGAATAACACCATTCTTTTGTTCCACCGGCACATTTTGTTGTGATGTTACAATATCTTCTGTAGTTTCTGGTTGCTTTTCAGTGTTCAAGACCTACCAACACCGTTAACAATTTTAAATCAAATAAACTACGAGTGATAGCTAAGTAATATTTTACATACATGTAGCAACATTTTCAGTTTTAAGCTGGGTTTTCCTAGATGCGGAAGCAGAGAGGGAAACGGGGAGAGCGGACTCCTCTTGTCTTAGGTAATTTAATGTTACTGTTTTCCTAAAAGCGGAGCGGAACGCCATGTTAACAACGAGCACATAATATGTTTATCGCTTTCCCCGTTCCTCTCTCCGTGCTCCGATTCCGCGTCTAGGAAAACCCAGTTTAACCCATTCGTCTACTTTGATGAGCCCTTCTCGCTGCTGCCACCAAGCCCCCTGTAATACATTGGCCTCGCCGCTCGCTCACGTCATAGTAGTTTGCTGTTTACTCAACAGATAGCAGCACAATACAGACTAAACTTCGTTTCCGACTTGTTGAATAGGTTGGGATATTTATTTGGTTTTTCGGGTAGCAATACTGTTGTTTGGTAAAAATAACTTGCATTTTGGTCTGCTGCTGTTTCGATGTCAACAGTGTGTTTATAATGGCGGGCCAACATGTGCAAAATAGTGAAATTGATTGCATAATTGACGGAAAAGGTTTTTTATTGAGTGACAGTGAAAATAGTGTTGACTATTATAATGAATACACAGAAAATCCGTGGCTCAGGAAAATGATGATGGAAGATATGAAGACCAAGAAGAGAAAGTGGAGGATGAAGTTAAGGCTGCATTTGACCCGGCTATTGTAGGTTTAGTTGATCCAAAATGATTGTTTCAGTAATATGGAAACTGAGGTAGGCTTAGTTGATCCACAATATGATTGTGTTTGAGATAGATTGAATAATACAGAAACTAGAGTTTATAGTTATATAAGGCTATATGAGTCTACATCTTATGACCCAATATTCAAACTGCAATGTGTGTATTTGAAACCAAATTTCCTACATCATTTATATTTTTATATGTCTTAAAACATTATTTGTAACATTGAACATCATTTTACTGAGAACCTGCTTTTGACCTAGTTGTCTACCAATCAAAGTCATGTGAAACTACGGCCAATTTCACTGAATCCAGTGAAGGGATGCAATGCAAGGGGTTTTAATATTTTGTTGATACATATCATCAAACAATGACAAATAGTTGATTTGTCTGTCTGATCGCAGCATCATAGCAAAACTGTCACATTTCATTAAACAACACCAGTTTTGATGACCAGGCTATAAAATCTAATATACGATATTGTGAGACAATTTTTTTTTTATTATTATCAAAGACACCACACGGAGGGCAAATATTTAATTTTGGCTGTAAAACTTAAACATTTCTATGACAAATTAGTAACGGGTGTTTTATTTGTGCACTTCTTAACAGGAACATTATATTTGTAATGCAGCTTACACTGGGTGGCTCGGGCTGGGGAGGACTGCTAGGCTCGGGCTCTGGGTGGTCTGTAGGCGGCCATCTCACCTTCTCCTTGACTGGGGAGACTACTGGAAGTAACAATACTGTGAGGTTACGATATTACAGCTGATTGATTCATGGATAACATCCAGAATAATGTGGAGTAACATGATATGATCAAAACAGTTCACATAAAACTTAACTCCAGAAAATTTGGAGGGATAAAGGGATAGGTTGGCCTATAAATATTCACTAATTAAAATGTTTGTTTCTAAATAACAAAAATGTACCTTTAAGTAAAAAATTCACTATTTATTTTTCAATTGTCAGATCAACTCTTTGTTATGGGTGTCAAATATGGGGTTTATGGGAAAGTGATTATGTAGATGGGACTCTTTGTTATTTTGTAAAGAAAATTTTAGGATTGGCAAAAAATACTCCCAACTATGCATTGTATCTCGAAACTGGACTAGAAAAAGAGTACATTTATACACTCAGCATGCATGCTCGTTACATCATACATGCTCTGTCACTGCCGCCGAACCGTCTACCAAATAAATTAGCAAAGAAAATAATCAGCGAAAATATTTATTGGAGCAGAGATTGGAAGGGTCTTGGAAGTAAACATGGAATTGAATTATCCTTTGATGTGAATTCCATTGAGGATACCCAGCGACACCTGTTATCAGTAGTAGAGGCAGTAAGGGGGGAGAGCAGGCGGGGGTTAGTCCAGGCGGCATTGGCCTCACGATACCACACAACTTATGCTTCACTGAATCTTGACCTTGGAGATAATGGATATCTATCAGATAACGTTCCTGATATTGTTAGACGATGGGTATTCAAAGTAAGGACAGAGACTATTTCCTTAAATTTTAAACCTTGGATGACAGACGCTAATTTTATATGTTCTTTGTGTAATCTAAATGAGAATGAGGACACTTATCATTTTGTTGCTCGTTGTCCAATTTTAACACAAATTAGAAATAAATGGCTATTGAAACCTGTTTTAACTCGCTCAGAGTTTATAAATTTTCTTAATGGTAAGGATTGGCGTTCGCTGGCAAATTTTCTTAAAGAGGCTTGGAAGTATAGGTGGGATTTGGTTTTAGAATTCAATGTCTAGCAGCAAAACAATATACATATTACAGCTTATTACAAATATTTCACATTTTTTGTTGTATAAAATAAAATGTTGTCAACCCGGCAGACGGTCTTATGACCATTGCTGTAATGTGCTGTTTTTAGTAATTTTGTTGTTGTTATGCAGAAGATTATGTTTAGTTATAAGTTCATATGTATTTATGTAGTTTATTTTTTTGTTAATAAAGCACTTTTTCATTTCATTTCATTTTCATAATTAAAATGTTTGGACTTTGGAAATAGTGGATGTATGTGGCAGGGTTTGGTACTGAATGTCTTGTATTAAATTTCTACAAGGATTAAAAAAGGATTATTGAAAAAGGTGAAATTACCTGTGTCTGGCTATCAATCCCATCATCAGTCCTAATACTCTTGAACTTCCTCGCACAGGACAAAAGTCAACTCTCCAAATAACCTCAACACTGGACCGACGGGCGTGTCTACATGTTCTTAGTTCAAATATAAGATGCTTACTGCACATCATCCATTTTTTATCCGTTACAGTAACATTTTTATGTGTAACGTTTGTGTATGTGTTTTCAAACTTCACAAGAAGTCCCAGTTATTTGTAATGGGGAAGTTTAAGAGCTTATATTAGGACTGATGATGATGATTTAAATCGTTGAAATGCATCTCCTGTAAAGGATACATCAGGATAGATCGGCAGACACAGGTAGTATAACCTTTTTCGATTGTCTATATTGATCCGGAACAACAACAAACAAAAATGAAACAAGGACTAAGTGGTATATAATTGACCTAATAACTGTTTGTGTGACAGCATTACTTGGGACATACTCCAGGCCAATTACAGTTCAAATTATACAGCACCTAAACGTAAGGGTAATGATAGAAAGGGATCATAAGGTCAGATAGGGTCAAAGATTAAAAGTTGTGGAAACAACCCATAGAGTTGAATGCAAATCCAGTAAATATTCTTTGCAAATAGCCAAATTGGATGGAAATCCCTATACAACAGAGTTGCTATGAAAGGCTATTGAAGATGAGCGAGGTTTACGGACATCAGTGGAAGTTATGTAGGCCAAACGTTTAAAAGTCTAACATATATTTTAAGAGCAAGAGGACCTTTGAGATAGTCCAATGAAGTAGATTGCTTATCAACTGAAAGCAGTGTGCATGCTTCCACCCCCTGTCCCTGTACTCAGAAATAAGTACAGTATTCAATAGAGATTTAATTAGATTTTTTTACCTGAAGAGTTGGAAGAAGGTTGATAGGAAGCTCTTCTTTGTAGCATTTGACCAGCTGATGTGTTTTGTTCAAAAACTGCTCTAGCATTGATAGTCCTCTTGGATATCAAAGCTTGGGCCTCCTAGAAATAAAGAAACGTTTAATGTTTTTAAAATATCCAAATTAGCTAATTTCTTGATACATTTTGAAAATGATTGAGCAAGGTTTACAAAACTGTGATTATTGACATTTACATACATGTAAAATCAATACATAGTACCTTATCTTCAAGTATAATCGAAATCAAAACCCCTTCAGCTTTGGTTTTCCCACTAAAATCTTTATTTTTAACAATTTTAAGGTCAAGGGGGGGGGGTTAAACCCCTAAACCCTCCATATTTAAACAGAAACCGATATGTGATAAACCCATCCAAATAGTAACACATCTCGACTGTCCTGAGCATTTTAAATAACTCAATCAGCTGTTTGCTGGTGAATTTTTATATAATCAGCTGATCTTAAGCCTTTGTATAATAAGCTTATTATGTGTTCCATGTCTTCTCCTAAGAATCACACAAAGCTTTTACACCCCCTAGGGGCTGCTTCCTAAACAAATCATGCAAAATTTGAAAGTGTGATTATTTCAACCGGCTTTGAGAAGTTAGCATAACAGTGAACGTTTTACAGATCCACTCAGTTAATAAGAAAATGTTTCAGTGACCAACTTTGTTCCTACCTGACTCCTTTCCCTTTTCAGGATCTCACTTCGTCCCCTCCTCTCAATCTCTTCTTGTTCTCTATCTTCTAGAGTGTCCTCCTTCTCCACTATGTTGGCCGCTTGCACCCTCATCAGTTCGTTCCTCTCCACCTCTCTCAAAACAGAGATGCTTTTGCTTCTCTCCTTAATCTTCGCTTCCCTTTGCACCGCTTCCTCAATCTACACAAATTATTCGTGAATGAATTTGCCAAATAAATTTAGTTACTCTGACTACTTTGGCAAACTAAACCTAAAAGTTTACTAAACTTACCATTGTACAAACATTGGTTTTGTAATTTTATACACGAGTTGTAGTCTATACAGAAGAAATAATCTGTTTCTGTATCTTAAATCACTATTTTTTATACTTCCTCTTCACAAAGTTTTATGAGAATAAATGGACTTATTTGATGTTTTACAGAAAATTGTAAAACACACTTACTTCACGCTGTTTAATTTCGTTCTCTAACTTCCTTTTTTCTTCTTCTCGACGTTTCCGCTCGGCTTCTTGTCTTTTCTTTTCCTCTTCTTCTTCTTTTTGCCAAAACTTGTCTCTTTCATTAGAATTTATTTCTTGCTGAGGGATAACTCTCTTGTATGTTGTCCCCTACAACAATTACATAATTAATTGCCTGGGAAATAAAGGGAATTTAGATTATCGAACCAAACTCTACAGCTTTTTATATTTTATTATACTTTACAATAGGTAACCGTGAGATGACTGTATTGTTTTAGTAATTTTACAGAATCGTAGTTTACCCTAAATCAGTTGGTGTGCATAAGAAAAACAGAGGGAACCCCTTTCTCAACCATGTAATTTTGATATTTGTTATGGATAGGGATTTTACAAATTAAAACCTTTGATTCTAAACATTTAAAAATGTGCATTAATATTAATAACTAACTTACTTCAGGGAAATTCCTCTAATGGGTGATTATTGTAAAGTACACAAAGAAAACCAATTGTTAATTGACAGAACAGGGTATTTATTTACCAGTTCTGTACAACTTGAACCCATGACTTTTCAGCAACTAATTGCCATCTAATCCTTATTTATATGTCTAGTTTACTTGATATAATATGGGAAATTAACAGAATTTCATAAAACATGAGTTGATAGCTTGGTAAATTATGAAAGCGTAGCTTTAATTTCAGAGGGAGAAAAAGAAATTACTTTTTAAATAAATTATTTCAGTAGCTCTTGAAAAATATCTTGCTTAGAATCGTAGAATTACAATCAGTGATTTGCACTGACTAATAGACATCTTGCAGAATATGAACCTGATTTCCAGAACTAAAGTTCACCACTATTGCATTAAAACAAGGCTCGTCCAACTCATTGCAAGAGCAACCCAACCCCAAACAATACAATACGCCAACCTCAACCCAAAAATAAAATATCAACAACACAATATATCTTACCACTGGTGCTGAATCTTTGACGGTTTCACCGCGGTTTTTGAAACTGTAAGCAGAAGCAGTAGCTTTGGATAACTTCTCAATAACAATATCGTTGTCAACTTCTTCTTCATTGCGGGCATTTATGGTGACGTGAGTGCCTTTCAGAAGATTGGTGACGTCTCTGATGTGGTTGGCACTTGTGGCTTTGCGATGGTGAGGTGCGCCCTCGCCTTGCTGAAAATAGAAAAAAATAGTTACTCTCAAACATAATGGGTCAATAATCTCATACTCAACTGATCAAAAAAATTATGTTGATAAAACTGTAAGAGAATAAATGACAATACCTAGCCTATTTGAATAAAGGAATGAAATGAAAATTTAATGAAAATATTCATATTATTTTATTACATTAACTAAACTATCTGTTGGTCCAACCTACGTACGGGAATCAAGTAGTCGATTAAAACTGAATATAATTCAGAACAGCTACTAATAAAGTCTGCATCCCAAGGTTAAAATCTGTGTAGGATGATTACCATTGAGTTAAACAGTATACACTCAAGCTAGAAGGACTGTGGTCAACACACTGATATAAAATCTTTTTTTGTACATTTGTTGTAAAAATACAGCATATGGCTTCTCTAAAAAGAGCTAATGTAGCCTAAATGCTTAGTTAAAATAATCTTTGTAGGTTATATTTCCAAAATAAAGAATGTCCTGGTTGACTGAACTAAATATGTTGTATTGACTATTGATCTATAAAATGTTAAATATTCTCAGTTATTATATATGAAACATCTTATAGGCCTATTACTGGGAAAATTTAATATGTCTTTTAGCGAATTTCCCTATAGGGAAGTAGCTATTACCGTAGGTGGCACGGTAAGACCTAAGCCCGGGACCGATTTACTTTTTCATTTTGATATCCCCAGAGGCCAAAAACACCATTCGTTCAAATTTTTATATATGTATATATATATACGTCCGTGAACGCGATAACTTGAGTAATTTTTGACCGATTTTGATGAAATTTGGTTTAAAGGTGTAAGGCGGGATAAACTTGAATGAGTTTGCAAACCAGTATGATCGGACCATGGGAACGGGGTTTTACAGGGGGTTTTGTTGGGTAAAAATTGGTTTTTCTCATTTTTAACCCTCAAAACACAAAATTTCCCAATTTCTCTCTAAACCCTTTTAAAGAGCTTAAAAAAAACAAATAATTTAGTATATCAAAGTTTTTTTTGTACAGTAATCGGCAACAGAGAAAATTAAAAAAACTATAAATTTAAAATTCCCATGTTATTCTTATGGAGAATATTGTAAAATGTTGTAGTTTGCTTGTTTATGGATATATTTTTATCAAACTTGGCTAATTTATTTATTTTATACTAAACGAGACGTAGGAATTGGCTAACTCAGGAACTCGCTAACTCGGTCGTGTGTCGGAACTGGCTAACTCTGGAACTGGCTAACCGTCTCAGTCAGGAATTGGCTAACTCCGGAACCCGCTAACTCGATTTTGTCTCGTGGCGGAATTCGCTAACTCTGGAAGTCGCTAACCCAGCCGCGCCCACTGCATGGAGCGTTGCCAACCTTGCACGACGAAATAATTGTACACTGCCGTATTTCAAAATATCAGTGTCAATGAAGATACAGTAAACGTTATTGTTTTTTTGTTATCAACTCCACTTTGAACAGATAACTAGCCCAAAGTAATTAAAAGACAATTAAAAAGTAATGAAAAAGTGTTTTTTTATTGAACTGTACAATGGCCAATTAATTAAATGTTTATGATTTTGATCTTAAACATAAATGCTATCAGTATAAAAAAAATAATAAAATGTGAAAAATATTGAAAATTCAGTTTAATTGGTACTAAATAATTAAACATCTACGAAATTAAGCTAAAATACACGCAAGTTCTCAAACACGGAAAACAAATTTAATCGTAATGTCGTAATAAACCAAAACCATCAATTAATACAGTAATCAACCATTGTAACTTTCATAACTAATTCATAGATTTAAAATTAAATGTTCGTCGTTGAATCTTCCAACTTACGTGTAAAAAAATATGACATAGACTAAGTTTCATATAAATTATGGAATAGCTTAGGCCTAAATCTAGGCCTAATAGTTCAAACCAAAGCATTGTAGGTCTACTAGTAAATAGTTGCCTAATTCTAAAATGTGTTGAATTTTTTAGTAATAATGTTACATGTTTTAAAACAGTTTTTAGATTGTACACCTATGCACTCTAGTAAATAATAGGAGAAGATATAATACATATAATAAAACGGAACAGGGTTATTTTAATTCACGATTCTTAATCAACGACTTGACGGATTTTCCTGATTTGAGTGTTGGGTTTCCTTTATATTGTTTTTATAATCGAGTGTATACCAAGCCATTGCTCGGTTCCCCGTTCCCCGGTACTGAGCTACTCAATAGACAATAGCTTTGATTTTAGATAAGATCAGGTAGTTTTAGCTATAGCCACCATTCATAAAAATGGTAACAAACAAGAACGCCTGGCAGTGGCGGTTCCAAGGGGGGGGGCTACAGGGGCTAAAGCCCCCCCCTTGGACCCTGGAAAAATAAATTTAAACATACATTTCGCCCTTAAAACACACAATGTCATAAAACAGACATCAATGTAGATTTTATTAAACTTAATAAGCGATGGCAGGAGTAGTATTAAGTTCCACATAGATCAACTTTGTGGACAATAGCACCGCAAATAAAACAATATTACGCAATGGAAAGTTAGTTATACAGAGGTGGCTTTGGTTATACGCATCATCCAATTTTTTCAGCAGTCAGCTGTTGACATGCTAGGGCAAAGGCGAGCGCCGAGCGTGCGAGCAAGGACCATACAAGGACGGGAAAACAGCTGATTTCCTGATGTTCCATAGTTGTCAAATTGTCTGCTAGCCACTAACTTTATACAGGCCACAGGCATCAACCAGCAATCAGCGGTAGCACCAGTAGCCTTTTACCATTTACTATATTAACACTAATGTTAAAGTTTTGTATAGTCAATGTACTGAATTCGATACTATACATATTGTGACAGATCTATGAAATGGACTGTAGAAAAACATAAGTTTAAAAAACGTATCTACTTGCTTGCATGACATATAAAAAGCATATAATAGGTGAAATGGAAGGTTTTAGGATAATTATTGAGCACAGTTCTAGCCGTTAGAAATGGTCATATAAAAGTGACCAAAAGGCTTATTTTTAGGAGATATGGCTTCGTAGTCTACAGTAGGCCTATGTTTTGAAATTCATGAATGCAAGTTCGTCATAGTTTGATTTTTAAAATGTCTACTTACTTGCTCATGACAAAGACAAATAACAGGTGAAATGGCAGGTTTTTGGACAGTTGGACACAAATAGACGTCAATAACGGCTTTAGAAAGTCAGTAAACAGCCTTTTGGACGATATTGCCGTAGCCTACAATATGTTTTGAGATTTCTGAATGCAATCGTCATAGTTAGTTTTAAAAATGTCTATACTTATTCATGACAAATAAAAATGGGGAAATGGGAGGTTTTGCACACAGTTCTAGACGTTAAAACTGGCTGTAGAAAGTCACCCAACGGCTTTTTTAGGAGGATATGGCCGTAGTCTACAGTGTTTTGAAATTCATGAATGCAATAGGCTATGCAATCGCCATAGTTTAATTTTTAAAATGTCTATTTGCTCATGACAAACAACAGGTGAAATGCGGAGTTTATGGACAATTAGGCAAGGTTTTAGGTGTTAAAAATGGCTTTAGAAAGTCACCAAACTGCTTTGAAAATTCCAAATTTTCCCGGGGGAGGACCCCCCAATGCTCCACCCACAGTCCACACCCTCCAAGCCCCCCGGTGGCCCACCCTTGACAAGGTCCTAGAACCGCCACTGACGCCTGGGTCCATTTAGAACCATAAAAACTCAAAACTTTTAAAAAGTAGGCCTACTGAAAGACGTAAAATTAATATTAATTAAACAAAATTAAGAGGATGACACGGGTTGTACACTACAGTAGGCCCAATAGCCTACGATAATAGAAATTTGCAATTTGTATCTATGCATAGACAAATTTTTTATGCAATCCATTAATACATTAGGCCTACCACTTTATAATGTATTGATCAATATTTATTTAAATTCAATAGCTCTATTTTTAAATAAATTACCACTGCAATGCATTTCTGTAATGGCGTTTAACGTGTAAATTTTATCATGATTTATAATTCAATTTTATGATTAAAGGTTACGAGCCCAGTATATAAAATACGAACTTAATAATTTTATTGCAGAAGTTAACAAAATGGTATTTATTCGAATAAAAGAAACAAAGGGTGGACTACGAAAATAGATATTTTATAACATGTATAATATCCTAATTAAATGTACAGTATTATCATTTTGCATCACAATAAACTACTATTTAAGTAAGAAAACCACATATAAAACATACTCCCTTATATTAAACTTAGTACATTTCTCATAGTAGTTATGTCCGGTGCACTGTCTTTAGAGGTCGTGTTTTGTTTACAATTGTTTCTTGTTTTCAGTAATTTAAAACCTCGTTTAACCAAATAAAACGTTTTAATCACAACTTATAACACGTACCCTATTTATATAACCAAACAGTAAAGAACAAATCATGAAGTTAACTATAAAATAATAGAAACACAATTTCGTCGACACTAGCGATCAGTGTCACCGGACATGAATTAGACACGAAAAACGAACTTCAAAGTTTACAATAGGATGTAAAGTTTACTTGTGTTGGTTAGTCTATGGTAAGACTATAATGCATTTTCTACCCTAATAACCATAAGAATAATATTAAAATACTTCTAAATATATTTATTTTATCGGCTACGTTGCTCTTACTCCTAATTATTCGTAGGATACGACATTATGGTACCGATACCGATTATAGTACCGATAGGTACTACACTTTCGGCAACACTGGCCAAAAATCTTCGTGCTTGGCTCCCATTGGACGGCCCGCGAGGCTTCTGATTGGGAGTTAGCGAGTTCCGCCGAGGGACCGAGTTAGCGACTTCCGTACGAGGACAGAATTCGCTAACCCGGCTCTAGAGCGGGTTAGCGGGTTCCGGAGTTAGCCAATTCCGAAACCGAACAAGTTAGCGAGTTCCTCCCATCGACCAAATTTGAAGATAGGGCGTTTAACATGGGGTTAGCGAGTTCCAGAGTTAGCCAATTCTGCGGACCCTACTAAACTATTAATATTTTACAAAAAAATACACTTTATTAGTTTCCTTGTAGCAGCAAACCTAGGTACACATTAAACTTAAACCTAATGTTATTTAAATAGGTTTAATTAAAAATCAATTCACACAAATGAAAATTCGCTTAGTCGGCAGGTGTGCTGCAGCGGGGGTATTTTATGTTAATGTAGTAAGTGGAAAATTCCCCGCAACAGAAAACCTGCAGACTAAGCGAATTTCCATTTGCCTGATTTGATTTTCACTTAGGCTAAATTTTTTGGACAAAAGAGAATCAAACTCATCTACAGAATATTCCTCTAGCCTGTACACAGCAATAATTTTGATAAGAATGTCCTCATTTCATTTGACTTGTAATCCAGGATATCAGCAGTTAATAGATTAGGCCTATCGTTGTCTGTACAATCACAAGACAGATAGTCTGTTGCATTTCGAAAGAATTTTTTTACCATAATAGCTTATTCTCTATAATCTTTTGGACATTGGGTGAGTTCCCAAACCCAATTTTCCACTGAATCTTAAGAGATATTTGAAATAAAAAAATCAGCTTGATTTGAGAATAAATTTGATATTTTGTAAAAGGCTAGCCTACCCATTGTTTGCCAACACTGTAAAACACCTTACTATCATTCAAAGCATAAAATATAATGGAATGGAATAGAATCTGATAAGAGAGGTATAAATTCAAAAGTATTGAGGATTTTTGTTTAAATTATTTTGATTGGAATTAAATTTTGAATGAGATTGCAAGAGATTACCACAACGTAGTTAAAAGTTTGCGACATTTTTGAGAATAAATTTTTAGATTGGAGTCTATATTGTATTTCATTAACACTGTACCAGAGTCAGAGATGTAGATACTTATTTTTTTTAAATTCAAGATTCTAAATTCATGAATTTAACCGTCAACAGTCTTTCCGTAGGCCCCCCCTGTGCTCCCTCCAACTTTTAGGAATTGTTATCAAAAATACAATATTTTGGCTTATTTTTAGACCTTATAGTGCTGATATGTTGTGCGTGACAAATTCTAAGAGTGATGATGCAAAACAAATTCTTATTGCATTGGACATTGGTATAGTCTGATCAAAATCTGTTACTTTACAATCATTAATTAAATTAACATTCGCCTATTTTGTCTGATGATGATTGGAGTGTCCAATCGAAATCAATCACCACTTACCATCCTTTATGTATATTTACCGTCTTGTGAGTAACAGAATAAGCGTAAATATATGTTTTAAGTGTTATAAGACATTTCTTTTATTTACTATCCGTCAATGTAATAAACATGTACAATGCTGATCAAGAAGTTATTTAAAAATTGTTCATCTTTCTAGAAAATGTTTTGAATTAAATAGAAATCAAAATGTGTATTCTACAGTGCTTGATAGGCAAATACCAATTAATTATTTAAAACAAAAACAATCTTGGCAAAGAAGAAATTATTTTCTAAGTCTATTTCACAAAACTTACCCAATTAACAAGAACAAATTTGTTCAAACTGGTTTTCGGGTCTAAAACCTTACAGAAGGCATACATAATTTTCCCACTGTTGAGATCTTCACGCATCTCTTCAATACCTCCGTCTAAAACATAAAAAAATCTATTGAACAATGTTCACATCATTCATATTTAGTAATTTAACTTATTTGTAATAGGCTAACAATTTTTATGCACAACCTAAAATAACTTCTAATTGCTTCTTGACATGGACAAGGATGGAAGTGCTATCAGTAACACCGCTTGAATTATTTCATGATCAGGCAGTAGGACAAAATAATAGTAGAACTTTCATAACTTTTAACTGAGGCCTATGATTATATAATAAAACATTGAATCCAAGTCCATCAGAAGCTGCATCATTACCAGCAGGAGTAGCGGCCACCAATACTAGTAAAAGATAAGTAGCCTACATGCTATTCACACATGAAATATTCACACATATGATACAAGAACTCGGGAAAATGTTCAAATTACTTAATAATTCTAAAAAAGCAATTTCAAACAAAAATCCAACTGTTTTTGGGATAAAATATTATAGGCTAAATAATAATAAAATCTGAAAAGAGTTTTAAATGCTTTGAAAGGAAACTAAAAAGATTTCTTGCGACCAAAGTGCTATACAGTTTTGAGGAATTTTTCCGTGTTTAAGGTCATTTAAATGGGTCGCCGGAATTTTATCCCCCTGGAATTTTACCCCCTGGGCAAAGCTGACGTCACTATGACGTAGTAACCTGAGCGGGCAAAAGTTTGTTCGCGGCCGGAATTTTACCCCCGCGGATTTGGAAGTCTAATGAAAATAGTCAGAGCGTGATTAATTAGATTAGCGATGAAAACCGGAATTTTACCCGCTGTCCATATAACTAGCGTTTAGACAACTGAAGATGTACGGGCTGGATTTTTACCCCCGGATTTTCTTCCCGTTGCGAAGTACAGGTACAGCAGCTAGTATTGAAATAAAACTGTTCTAAACTAACCTTTAATATAACCAACCAAACTTGCTGTAGGCCTAACATTTCAAATTTCCGGTTGACATCCCACACATGCTGCGGGAATAAACTTTATTGAATCGATTATAAACTCAATCAACAAAAATGAAAAAGTAATTGGGATCTTCCTTGATTTTTCAAAGGCATTTGACAGTGTGACTCATGATAAGCTGCTTGATGTTCTTTCTAGTTTGAATATTGATAATAAGGAGCACAAGTGGTTTTCTTCTTATTTAAAAAATCGGCAACAATGTGTCCAAATTCAACATAAATTCAATTATCCCAATAGTAAATACACTTATACTCAAAACTATTATTCTGATTTTAAAACAATAAAACACGGGGTTCCTCAGGGATCCATCCTAGGCCCTCTATTATTCCTTTGTTACATGAGAGGATTGCCAAAAGCTATAAATGCAGGAGGTTCTGTATGCCTGTATGCTGATGATACCAGTATCATAGTTACAGGGGAATCCCAGGAAGAAATAGAGCTTAAAACATTTTTAAATCTTGTATCAGTCAGTGAATTTTCAAACAGTAAAAATCTTTTAATTAATTCAAATAAATCAAATTTTTTATCATTCAATACAAAACAGGCTAGATTAAAATTACAACCAAACGTTCAGCTAGATGGATCAAAAATTATTCAAGTAAACCATACAAAATTCCTTGGATTGATTCTAGACGAGAATTTGAGTTGGGATAAGCATGTTGATCATGTAGTAAATAAAATGTCAACTGGCATACATGCTTTGAGACAAATGTCTCATGTATGCAATATTGATACTCTCAAATCAATCTATTTTGCTCTGATCAACTCGCATATGGCTTACGGTATTGCTATATATGGCGGGACTAGTAATAAAAACCTTAAAAAAAGGTAAATATATCGACCTCCGGACCTCACGCGAAATTAAAAATTTCTTTTTTCAAAATGGTTGAAATTTGACGCTGATTTCACAAATGATTGTCGTTTTTTTCGGAAACGTCCCGTTTTCCCGGAAAATGGGAAAAACGGGAAAAATAGTTTTTGCTCAAAACCCATGGTGTGGGTACTCAAATTATGCGGAATTTCCTCCTGAACAAGAATATGTAAATTTTATTACGATCGGACCACTATTAAGTAAAATATCACCGAAAAACAGGAAAACGGGAATTTTTTTTTCTCAAAACCCATGTTGTGGGTACTCAAATTGTACGGAATTTCATCCTGAACAAGAATATGTAGTTTTTATTACGATCGCTTTTTAGTAAAATATCACCGGACAGGTTAACTAACCTAACATAACCTACTTAACTTAGGTTTATATTAGGTTAGGTTAGGATAGGTTAGTTTAGGTTAGGTTAAGTTAGGTTAGGTTAGGTTTGGTTGGGTTAGGTTAGTTTACTTACAATACTCATGTTATTGATAAACTAACCCAACCTAACCTAACTTTCGAACTTAGGTTAGGTTAAGTTAGGTTAGGTTAAGTTAAGTTAGGTTAGGTTAAGTTAGGTTAGGTTAGGTAAGGTTAGCTTAGGTTAGTTTACTTACAATACTAACCTAACCAAACCTAACCTAACCTAAACTAACCTAACCTAACTTAACCTAAGTTCGTAAGTTAGGTTAGGTTGGGTTAGTTTATCAATAACATGAGTATTGTACCTAACCCAACCAAACTTAACCTAACCTAACCTAACAAAACTCAACCTAACCTAACTTAACCTAACCTAACCTATTCTAGTAAACTAGCCTAACCCAACCAAACATAACCTAACCTAACTTAACCTAACCAAACTTAACATAACCTAACCTAACAAAACTCAACCTAACCTAAACCAACCTAACCTAACTTAACCTAACCTAACTTAACCTAACTTAACCTAACCTAAACTAACCTATCCTAAAAACCTAACCTAACCTAATCTAAACCTAAGTTAGGTTATGTTAGGTTAGTTAACCTGTCCGGTGATATTTTACTAAAAAGCGATCGTAATAAAAACTACATATTCTTGTTCAGGATGAAATTCCGCACAATTTGAGTACCCACACCATGGGTTTTGAGCAAAAACTATTTTTCCCGTTTTTCCCATTTTCCGGGAAAACGGGACGTTTCCAAAAAAAACGACAATCATTTTTGAAATCAGCGTGAAATTTTGACCATTTTGAAAAAAAAAACTTTTAATTTCACGTGAGGTCCGGAGGTCGATATAATTACCTAAAAAAATTCTGAAACAGCAAAAGAAAGCATTACGAGTTATCTTTAATATAAAAAATAGAACATCTACAAAACCATATTTTTCCAAATTAGGTATCATGACGGTTTATGACCTATATATATTTGAAACCATTTTACATGTAAAAAAATTTAACACACAAAAATACAGTCAAAAATCACATACATACAACTTGAGAAATAAAAGATATGTAGAACCACATAAATTACAGATTTTTGAAAATAAAACAACTTTTATTGGTACTAAATTTCTTTATAATCTGCCTAAGAATATTCTTTGTGAAGAAAAATATAACAGTTTCAAAACCCGCCTTAAAGAATACCTATTGACTCATCCTATCTTTTCAAGTAAAGATTTTTTTATTAATTCAAGGAATGTAAAATAAAAAAATTGTATTAGTGTCATTGTCATACAACAACATAAAAACAGTTTTATTTGTAACCATAATATTTTAGCCTAATTAAGGACATTTATTAGTTGTAAGATTTGACTCTATTCAATGTATTCATGTAAATACAAAAAATGAATAAAGATGATTTGATTTGATTGATGCTTTTTCTGTTATATCGAACGAGATTTTGAAATGGTAGGTATATCAAGTTTGGAGCAGTTTCATTTCTTAATCCATATAATACAATGGGTAAACAAACAAATGCAACATGATAACAATTAGGCATAGATCTAATAAAAAAAAATAAAAAAATTACATAGCCTAGGCCTAAAACAAGATCAGTTATCAACTTGTAATTTAAATGTGTTTGAAGGGATATTAAGTTAAAACAGAAGGAATAAGTTATATGGATTGTATATTTACAATCAAATGAAATCTTACTAACTAGTGAACCCGTGCTGCTCTTCGCGCCGCAAAGCAACATATCAATTTAGAAAACAAATCCATCGTGTTATATATTGATTCTAAGTCGAAAATAAAATACAGTAATGAATGAAGCCTTAGATGGAAAGTAGAGAATCCATTTTCTATCCTATTTTATTTACAAAAGTACTTCCTTGAATAACTTACTAAGTTTTTAGTTGTGAAATCAATCACCTTCAGGAAAATTACCCTGGTCAGAATTTTCCGCAATGAATATGGGTACACCATCAAAATATGTAGCCCTACTTAAAGCAACATAAATCCCATGACTGAAAACTGGTCTGGGTAAGAGCAGTGCTACTCTTTTAAGTGATTGCCCTTGTGCTTTATTGATTATCATTGCAAATGATAAAGCTAACAGAAATTGGCAGCTTTCCATTTTAAATGGTAAGTTTGTTTCCAACGGGCACATTTTTATCCTCGGAATCAAAATATGTCCCCTCTCACTTGTTCCAGTTAGGACTTTTACATTCTATTAAATTGTTAACCATTTTGGCCACTTGGAGTCTTGTTCCATTAATGAGGCCATTCTTGGTGTATTGATATTCCTCATCAATAAAACCATTGCCCAGTTTTTTAAATCAATCTGTGTCTTGGCAATCCACCGACCTCCATATTGTTTAAAAACTCTGCTGGGCATTCTAGATGGGCGTTTAAATTATCTCCAAGCAAACTATAAATGATTTCGAACACCTTGGGCTCAGCTGGCAATTTTTTCAAGACTTTGTTGTTGATCAAATCACAGTCACTGTTTTTGGAGCTATGGCGTTGTCTTTCATTTTGACCATTTTGTATACTTTCAACGACGTTTGGTTGGATGAAATCATCAGCGCATCCAACTCCAAGCATTTTTGCTGGCAAAATGGGGAATCCATCAGCTTCCTATCAGCTTTAGCCTATTTGAACTCTTTAATTTCCTGCTCGTGTACGTATTGCGTCATGAAGTTTCATATATAGCTCTGCTCGAAGTTTTGACTGTTCCCTATGAATGAAACCGAGACGTTCACCTTCAATTCTGGTAAAAATTTCAACTATATATTGAAGTTTAACCTTACCACCACAGCAGAATACTGAAGCCTAACAGATAGCCTGTGGGCCTCCGGTGTGTAGTTGTCGAGTCAATCCCTCCATAAGGGAAAAGCAAGGGATAGGCTATTGTATCAAGACCTGAACAATGTGCAGCCAAATCTTCTGGGGTCCCATTTTTAGGATAGGTACACAACAAATAATTTAAAAAAATTTGTATAGCAACAAACATGAATTAGTAGTATAGGATTTGTTTTGTTTTGATTTATAAATAAATTGTCTGGTAGATCAGCTGTTTCGTGTTAAATTAATGAATGTCAAAGATTTGTAATTTTAAATAGGTATTACAGTAGCCTACGGTTTTGTAAATCATGGTAACTTTTTCTCAACTAAATTTTACTATTCCCAGCTTTAAAATAAAGTAGTATGATCCATTATTAGTATACTTTAATATACATTGGTTACCAAACGTGATAACATTTAATATACATTAACAGTCATAATAAACACTAATTTTTTATGTAGTAGACTTTGACTATTTTCAACTAAAAACATATGTTTTTATAAATTAAAAATATCTCCCATGTTATCCTTATGGAGAAAAAACTGACTTTAAGGGCCTCTGACGCCCTTACCAACGACTTTATCAAAAATCTAATACCGTTGGGCACAACTACACGTTTTAACCTTTATTTTGAGACCTCTAACGTCAAAATTGGGCAAATAATAACGGAGGAGTTCGATTAACAAAAAACGGCTTAGCCTATTATATATATAGAATAGATATAGATAGATATAGATATTATAAATGTGAAAGTTTGTGTGCTTGTTTGTTTGAAGTTCAATCACGCATTAACTACTGAACGGATTGAGCTGAAATTTGGCATGATGATAGCTCACACCCCCTATTAACATATAGGCATATTCTTATCTCAAGAATCCTTTCGGGCTCCGCCCCAGTGGCTCTGTAGTTCTCCATGTTAACCTTATGAGTAAGTATTCATATTTAAATGGAATTAAAGAATTTAGTCAGCTGTTTCAACTAAAAAAGTTGATTCTATGACACGAAAAGCATTAAAAAGTTATAGGATTTACCAATAGAGTGCAGCACTGTTTTTTTTGCATTTATGAAAACAGCTAATTTGAACTAAGCAGCAACAAAAAACTGTGATACGCAATGAGAACTGTCAAAGTAGGATTGTTTACAGTTAAGTTTATATTTTTAATTTCATGGCTAATTTGTGATATTTTGCGAGTTTTGGATAATTTATTTTTCTCTATTAGTTTAGGTGAATTGGTAGAACATTATAGCTATGGTTAGATGTGTAATACTTTAATTAACTGTAAATTAAAAGAAGCAAATTTTATCAAACTGTGTTCTCCCCCATTGCAAACACAAAGCTTGAGTACTTATAACTGCAATAAGCATTTTATACTTGCATGCAAACCCCGTACGAAGGACGGGTACTCTGCTAGTAATCAATATATCGACAGTTTTAATCAATATTTTAAATCAATTGAATGTAGGGTGTAAGGTAATGTGCAGCCTTCTTCAGACTCAGTTGTTTTGCTGATGTTGCTTCTTAATTACGTGGTAAAGGAATGGCTCAAATTAACTTAACAAAGCTGTTTGAAAAAATGTGTCTTACCTCCCTTACCCACAACCTTTAAATCATTTGTTTGTCCTTCATAGCTGAAGAGAGCCCTGCAATATGAACAGAAATAAAATTACATACAAAATATAATGAGTGAATAAGTTAGTATTAAAATAATACAGTGTGTGTTGTAATTATTTCAACATTTTAATTACCTAACTTAAACATTTATTAGGCCTATGTCTAATGTGTATGGAATAACACCTCAATCATTAAATAATTAGGTTCACTTAGATCCTGTTAAAAAATGTTTAACATTAACTTAAATCTAGGCTACTAAAAAAACCAGAATTTAGACCAATGCTTTGAAAAAAGGAGCTTTTAGCTTTTATTTAAATAGGCTAATAATTTCTGTACCAGAAGGGGGCGTCTAAAAATTTTGCTAATGTGCCAAACAAGACAGACTACAAACTGTTAGAAAACATAGGAACGTGACTAACTTATTAATTTAATTTGGGCTGCACTCTACTTTAGGTCCTACACTCATTCGGATAAAAATATCGATCGATATATCGATTAATCGATTGTTTCATTCGATATATCGTTTGGTTAGGTAGGTAGCCTAAGGTTAACCTAACCTAACTAACCAAACGATATATCGAATGAAACAATCGATATTTTTATTCGAATGAGTGTAGGACCTAAAGTAAAGTGCAGCCTTAATTTGTCCTTACACATGCCGCTCAGAAAGTTAAGTTAGGCCTAACTTACTTATTTTAATGAGGAAAAAGCTAAATGAAAGATGAAGGTAAAGAGGATGTAATTCATTTTTAATATACATTGTATTTTAGTATGCTTGGTAAAAATCAGAGATTTAAAGCTTATATGCTTGGCTAGAGTTTCAAAGCTAGATTAAAAATTTAACTTTTGATAAAGCTCAGTAGTCTTAGGTATGAGTCAAGCACTTGAGCGTAGTTAGGCCTATATTGAGTTTTTATTTTAAAATTACCATCTGATATAAATGTATTCCTATAAACACATTCTAAAATAATCTAATTGTAATACTCTTACCAGTTGGTGTTGGTTTTGTCATCCAAAACATCCTTCCAAGCGGCTATGAGGGCGTCTTTATATTTTTCTATACCCAGCGCCATTGATTTACATTTATTTGATCAATCTTTTAATCGAACAAGTAAAATTTCTTGTGAACACCGGAAAAACAATTAAACCGTAATATTCACAGTTAGTGAGATAAGTCATGCATAAAACACTTGAGGTCAATTAACCTAAATAGTAGCTAAGCAGGGAAGCGGCTGAGGCTGAACGACCGAACGGCTTTCTGTCTCTGTCTGCTCTTGGTCGTTCATTCATTGTCAATTGTCAGACTTGTTTTCATTTTTATATCGCCCACCAGCTGAGTGACGCTGCCATAGAGTAAAACTTAAGTAAATGCGTCCCGAAACGGCACACGGAAGATTTCTCAGGTACCGTTTGACGTCTATAACTGCTGACGTCACTTTGAGGGAACACCAATACCGCAACGATACGGTGTTGAGACATCGGCCTCGGTGGTGTAGTGGGTAGCGTAGCGGGCTGATAATCCGAATCTACAGGGTTCGAATCCCTCTGGTAGCACTAACTTTTTGTCAACAATTTTTTCATATCAGCAAGTTTGGTTGGTTTGGTTAGGTTATGACAGTTTAATTTTATAATTAAAAAATTATAAAGTTGAATTTTAGGCATTTATAATTTTATTTCATGAACAAAACTATTTTTTAGATGAGTAAACCTTCATTTGATTTTTCCATTATCAGCACGTTTGGTTAGTTTGGTTATGTTATGACAGTTTAATTTAATAATAGAAAAATTATAAAATTGTCTGTTTCTGACGCGTCTGTTCAGACGCAGCAGTTAGTGACGTCAAACGGCACCTGAGAAATCTTCCGTGTGCCCCACCGAATGCGTCCTCGTTTGTATAAAGGTATACATGAATAGTCAACTAGCTGCAAGGCTATTGAACTAGCTGTACCCGCGGGCTTTGCCCCATTTAACTTCATTAGTATTTAATAATACCAAAGATTACATACATAATACTTACTCACCTTTAGGTTGGAGCTCACTTGCCTTCAGGTTAGCTCGTTCGCTACGCTAACTCGCCTCCAGAATGAAGTTCGTTCGCTACGCTAACTCACCTTTTGGTTGCAAGCTGTTGTCATAAATGTAAATAAACGGTATCAGCAATCTGACACATACTTTCTCCCATAAGTTTGTCAACAACCTTTATCATGTCCAAGCGGTGAGAGTAAATATACAGAAATGGGATTTGTACAATTTTGTTCAGAATTTAAAGGAATATAACATGCTAAATTTTTATCAAAATCGTTTGGGCCATTTTTGGGAAAATCCGATTTTTCTGTTATTTTATGGAGGTTTTATGGGAAAATGACATAATTTACATTAACTTTTGAACCGTAATTTTTACAGAAATGGAATTTGTACCGTTTTGTTCAGAATATAAAGGACTATAACATACTAAATTTTTATCAAAATCGTTCGGGCCATTTTTGGGAAAATCCTATTTTTCCGTTATTTTATGGGGTTTTATAGGAAAATCCCCATTTAAAAAATTTCTAAAAAACTTAAAAAACTATTAAAACTGTAAGGACTATACTATGTTAAATCAAAACAGGATTTTTTTTCTAAAATCTATTTTTCGTTTTTTATGGGGTTTTTATGGAAAAATAACATATTTGACCATGACTTTTGAACCGTAATTTTTACAGATATGGGGTTTGTACCATTTTATTCAGAATTTAAAGGGCTACAACATACTCAATTTTTATCAAAATCGTTCGGGCCATTTTTGAGAAAATCCGATTTTTCCGGTTTTTTATGGGTTTTTATGGGAAAATCCCCATTAAAAATAAAAATTTCAAAAAAATGAAAGAAATGCCTGGAGATACCATGGATTAGAACCTACATACCAAATTTCATCGAAATCGGACCACATATGTAGTCTCTAGCTCTGTACACATCCAGACACACAGACACACACACAGACACCTATACGTGTTTGAGGGGGGAAGTGAGGACCTTGGATATTAAATGACGTTGTGAGGACAGAGGCTTCCTATTGTTTTATCGTTAGGTTGGTGAGTATTAATTGCTAATCATATGTTTAAAAACTATTTACACACTTTATTTGAATGTTATATACAACTTTTAAATTTTGTAAAACCTTGTGAGGACTTTGGCCTTTTCTGTACTTTGTGAGGACATTTTGTTTGACACATAAATACTACTAAGTGAGGACACTTATTAATTTTATTTTTTTTTATGAGAACCCAATGTTTAAACTGTGCAGTAAAATGTTGTAGGCTAAATGAAAGTATAAAATAATTATTCTCAAACTACAAATATTGGTAAGTATTTTTTAAATCAATGAATAAAAGATCTTAAGTTTTTCTTTCGTAGTTACACATTTCCAATTGCAGTTTATATTGAAAACAACCATTTATCATGTAATTTTACTATAAGTACACTTAATAACAATGATTATTGGATTTTTGAGAATCTTTTAATCTCCAGGCGAGTAGTTTCAAAACAATTGTTGCTTCATTATCAGCCTTCGTCGTCAAACATCAAACTATTTAAACATGTTGTCGTCGTCTATATGCAAAAATTTTACATTTAGTACAAACGAAAAGTACGAATATATTAAGTTAACATAAATTTTTGTGCGCGGCCGGCCATAACACGCACGACAACCTCGACGGACGGACACAACTCAACTACCCGAACCCGACGCCTGTCTGGAGACATTGACCTTGGAGGGGGTGAAACAGCTGATAATGAGATGGTCTTGATGATAATGAAACAACAGTTGTTTCGAAACTAGTTGCCTGAGACTACAGTAGGGTTGACGACGTAAGGTATGTAAACCTATTTCATTTGTCATAAATCAATCCTGGAGGCAATGCTGGATAAATCCCTCATTTATTGTAAACATGAATTTGTGGCTATATTAATGTTATGTATTTTGATATATTGCTAAATGAGTGAACCTTAAAATGCACATTTGCGGACCTGCAGCACTCACAGTCAACGTTGAGAGGACCTTGAAATTTCTAATTCGTTCTGAGGACTTATAGGGAGACACAGTACTAAGTGAGGACTTTCAGCACACACACTCAACGTTGAGAGGACCTTGACATTTCTAATTCGTTCTCAGGACTTATAGGGTGACACAGTACTAAGTGAGGACCTTAAGCACACACACTCAACTTTGAGAGGACCTTGACATTTCTAATTCGTTCTGAGGACTTATAGGGAGACACAGTACTAAGTGAGGACTTTCAGCACACACACTCAACGTTGAGAGGACCTTGACATTTCTAATTCGTTCTGAGGACTTATAGGGTGACACAGTACTAAGTGAGGACCTTCAGCAGACATATTCAACGTTGAGAGGACCTTGACATTTCTAATTCTTTCTGAGGACTTATAGGGAGACACAGTACTAAGTGAGGACCTTCAGCACACACACTCAACGTTGAGAGGGCCTTGATATTTCTTATTCGTTCTGAGGACTTATAGGGAGACACAGTACTATTTGAGGACTTGCTGCACACACTATCAACGTTGAGAGGACCTTGAAATTTATAATTCGTTCTGAGGACTTATATGGAGACACAGTTCTAAGTGAGGACCTGCTGCACACACACTCAACGTTGAGAGGGCCTTGATATTTCTTATTCGTTCTGAGGACTTATAGGGAGACACAGTACTAAGTGAGGACCTTCAGCACACACACTCAACGTTGAGAGGACCTTGAAATTTATAATTCGTTCTGAGGACTTATATGGAGACACAGTTCTAAGTGAGGACCTGCTGCACACACACTCAACGTTGAGAGGACCTTGACATTTCGGGTTTTCCGCCCCGTTGAATGAAATATTCAATGTAATACAATTTATAATTGTGTACTAATTCCTATATTAAACTATAATAACTAATGAAGTTTATTTATTTATGTATAAATCATATATAGTTTATTTCCTATATAAACTAATGAAACTGTATAGGGTCACTGTTTTACAAAACCGTTTCTTTCTTTATGCTAGAACATTATGAATTAATGTAAAAAATAAGTTAGGTGTAAGGCAGAAATTCTAGATATTGGTTTAGTTTTACAACATGTAATGCAACCTTTGTACTATACCGGTACTTTGTGGACAGCACGATTGTGGACAGTAAATCACATTCTTAGAAGTACTGTTTAGTATTATCAAAGATAATTATTAACCAATTATTAACCAAACCCTTTCCTCTTATGTGTGATGATATGAATTATAAAACATATACAGAATAGCAATGGCACTCAAAACTCTTTTTTTACTAATCGTGTCTTTGCAACATTATACAAATACTCCTATTGTCAAAGGAACACGCATAACAATTCGATTTGTAAATTTATTATTCAATTTTTGTTATTGCCTTTACGTTAGATACTTCCTAGGTTTAGGATTTATGACCTTATCAATAATTACTTGCTCTGAACCTTAATATTAGAAATGTCTCATTAATTACCAAACAAAGCTGGTAGTAAACGATTCCTTGTTACAACTAAACAAAGGGGGATTACCAGTCCCTGTTCCTGTATATATAGTCTGCATTTTATATTTTAATTTACGGTAACATTGTATGTAACTAGTTTACCTAGAATGTCATAATACAGTATTTGATTATGTGTCACCTGTAATAAACATCTATATATTTAATACGCTAGGCATATTTTTGTCATAATTGTTTTGGAGTGGTGGTGCTACCGATCACCATGTCTAAGGTGTCGTTAGAAAGGTCTTACCATGTAGTTTTGCCATCAAACAAAAACACTTTGGAATTCCATCAGGGCTCTGCCCCAGTGACCTTCAAAGTTCCCATGTTATTCTTAGGGAGAAAATGTTTGTTTACATTTGCACAGATGAATACTTTGAAATTGACACTAATATTTGAAACAGCTGCTTATACTAAAATTGGAGACATTTGCTATAAGGATTTATTAGATTAGTTGAAAAGATTGATCTTTCACTGTATTAAACCAGTTTTTATTTGCACAAAATCAAAACATAACAACAAAAAAACGCTCGACATAATGGAGGCTATAAGACGTCGACCTGGATGGCCAATAGGAGGAGGCTGATGAACTTTATCTGATAGAAGCGAACTAAATACAAATAATACTATTGTCGTTGATAGCCGAATACAGCAAGCACCCTTCCATGTCGGGCTTTAGTATGCTCTCCAACAGCCGCCTGAAGATTTCACATTCAATTTAGG